CGAGTGCCTGGCTCTGTCTACAGTGTCTGTCCCCCTGCAGGGGCGGCAGCAGGGGCTGTCTCAGGGGAGAGCCCATGGCCAACAGGGGCCAGGGGCATTTGTTGCCCCGGGGAGCCTGTCCCAGCGTGGGTAACGGAGGGGGAACATCGGGGGTAGTCTGAGTGAGAGATGTGCCACCATCCCCTGGCACGCTTGCCTCCGTGGGGTGGCTGCCAGCCTACAGGATGGGCGCTGGGGGGCTGCCACCACCTGGGGGGCTGCCACCCCCTTTCTTTCTCCTCTGGAGCTCCCCTTTTTTGGGAGGGGCTTGTACATATGTAAATAGCATTATTAAAATAACAAGCTGCTGGTTCGGGCTGTTTCCCTTGTTTTGTGTCTTTTTTGGGAGTGTATAGAAAAGGGAGGTGGGGGTATGGGAGGGTGATGATGTTTGGGGCGTTCCAGTGTCACCCCGGAGGCGATGATGTGTCAGAGGAGCAGGTGAGTGGGGGATGTTGGGCCATGGGGGTTCCCCCAAAAGAACAGGGTCACAGACTAAAAATGTCTAAAAATTCAGGGGGTTTGTGTGTTTAAACTATATAAAAAACTGTAAATGTGGGTGTGAATGCTTTAAATGGAGAAAAATATCCAATAAATATTGAAAAGAATATTCATTTATATCTATAAAAGGATTTCACAATAAAGCCCTGTGTCTACTATATTATATAAAGATTTTGGAACATAAAACAATTCTAAATAGTGATATATAGGGGTTTAAAATACAAAAGTAACTCGTGTATAGATATATATATATGTATTAAAAATAAAGGACTTGGAAATGCAAAATAATGTATTTTATGTACAAAGGAATTGAAAATAGAAAAAAGTCGAATAGAGCTGTCTACTTTTACGGTGTGTTACATAGTAAATCTAAGTAGATATTATGTAATATGTGTAGAGATTAGATATGTGTAAATAGATGTCTAAAGGGATCAAATTGTAAAGAGATATATGTCAAAATATGGAAGAAGTCGGAGCAGACATGTAAGGGTAAATAGTTATAGATAAAAATGTGTATATGTCTAAATAAATACTGTCTTTTCGAAGAGTAAATAGACAATATAAAACCCTCCCATAAATACGTCTCTACGGCGCTACACTCCGCCAGGACTTCCGAAGTGCCCGTCAGTCCTCCGGCAGATATCTCTATGTCATCGTGAGTGCCGGTCAGTCTTCCGGAGGTCCAACTCTATGACCCGGTAGTCCTCCAGCCTACCGGAAGTGTCCATCAGTCCTGCGGAAACCTATCTCTATAGTATCAGGGTGCCGGTCCGTCCTCCGGAGGCCCAACTCTATGACCCGGTAGTGCTCCAGCCTACCGGAAGTGTCCATCAGTCCTGCGGAAGTCTATCTCTATAGTACCAGGCTGCCGGTCCGTCCTCCGGACGCCCAACTCTATGAGCCGGTAGTCCTCCAGCCTACCGGAAGTGTCCTTGAGTCCTGCAGAAGTCTATCTCTATGGTACCCGGATGCCGGCCAGTCTTCCGGAGGTCCAACTCTATGACCCGGTAGTCCTCCAGCCTATCGGAAGTGCCCGTCAGTCCTGCGGAAGTCCATCTCTATAGTACCGATATGCCGGTCCGTCCACCGGAGGGCCAACTCTATGACCCTTAGTCCTCCAGCACATCGGAAGTGCCCGTCAGCCCAGCGGAAGTCCATCTCTATGGTACTGCAGTGCGGTCAGTCTTCCGGAGGTCCAAATCTATGACCCGTAGTCTTCCAGCACACCAGAAATTCCCCTCCGTCCTCTGGAAGTCCATCTCTATTACATCGGGGCTGCTCGTCAGTCCTCCGGAAGTCCAACTCAATGGCCCGACAGTCTTCCTGGGTACCGGGAGTGTCTGGCAGTCGTCTGTAAATCACACCTTATATAACACCACGCTTCCAAA